TGTGTCTCTATGTTGATGATATTTTGCTAACAGGTAGCTGCCCAGAAGATATAAAGAAGTTCAAAGAAGTTCTGATGAATGAGTTCGAGATGACAGATCTAGGAAAAATGACATATTTCCTAGGGATGGAGATCCTGTACTCGAAGAAGGGTATCATTCTGTATCAGTTAAAGTACGAACTAGAACTTCTGAAGAGATTTAAGCTATAGAATTCCAAAGTTGCAGTGACACCATCAGAAACCAATCAAAAATTGGATTCTGACTCTGATGGTGATTCTGCTGATTCTAAAACCTTCAAACAGTTGGTTGATTCTCTAAGGTATTTATGTAATACTAGACCTGACATTTGTTATGCAGTTGGATTGGTTAGCAGATTCATGAGTAATCCAAAGTGGTCTCATTTCCGAGCTGCTGTCAGAATTCTGAGATATATCAAGGGAACCCTGAGATATGGAGTGTTGTTTCCTTCTGAAAAAAGACAAAATCAGAATTAGTAAGTTATTTCTGATTCTGACTGGTGCAGAGACAGAGTGGACAGGAGAAGTACTTCTGGATACTTGCTTAAATTTTTGGGAGGTCCCATTTCCTGGAGTTCCAAGAAACAACCTGTCGTGGCTCTGTCAACATGTGAACCTTAACATCAAAGCCAACCTTAACATCACTGGTCAAACTGGTTGTAACCCTAAGATCCCTATCAGAATTATCAGAGTCATTCCACCGATTATTATTGGAGGAAGATGATGGAACAATTAGATTATGGAAAAGCTAATTTGCAACGTAGGAATCATCGAAGTTTCGATCCATTTTGAATTGGAACTGCAACTACTAGTAACTAAATTAGGGTTTTGATGAGAAATTATCTGATCTGATAGTTGATGAAGAATTGGGATTGAATTCGTGAATAGCGAAAACGATTGGTGGTTCATCGTTGTTGATTAGTTCCCATTTGGATGAGGAGGATGAGATAGGAGTAAAGGAATCGGTAGACGTGTGCCCTATGTAATGAGCGAGGGAATATGAAATTAGGGCAAACATGGATCCTTTGTATGATTAAAAAAATACAATATTTTTTGGGATAAAAAAATAAGGGGAGATTTTTTAGGATTAAAAAATGAGAAAATATTTTTTGGCATTAAAAAATGGAGGCTTTTTATGATAAAAAAATGAGGAAATATTTTTTTTTGGATAAAAAGTTTTTTTTAGAATAAAAAAGTAGATGAAAGGCTAAAAAGATAGTGGAGTAGTTTTTATGTTGTAAATAGTGACATTTCAAACCGCCACAACTTAATGTGATTTGTAAACACAGCCTTAATATATCATTTATTGTGGCGGTTAATATTACTGTCCTATGTAAACCGCCACAATTCACGCGTTTTTTTTAGTGATTTCTTTTAATATTGTTTCACTCACGCCTTCTGTTGGATTCTATACTTCTGTTATTCCACTCATAAATTTCTTTGATAATTTTATTTTTCTAAAAAGTTCTTGATTATATATAGACTCAGGAAATGAGATTTTAAATTCTATATTTATTTCTTTTTCTTTTCTAAAAAGTTATTGATTGCATATAAACTCATGCCATTCTGTTAGCACATAAGCAATGTTTTTCACGTAAGCAATTATGTTAGTATATAAACAAGTTCAACAAATTATTGATTATGGCATATGATTATTGATTAGGCATCGTGCTTTTGAAACAAATGGGAAAGAACGTCTAATCTTGTAAAGATTGGAAATAATACAGTGTGAAAATATGATAGTTATGTAATTATATCATTTTATCATGTCACTTAAATATAATGAGAATATTGTCATCATCCAATAAAAATATATCATTTTACCAGAATAATTTTAAATTTTCATTATGATTTGGTAAGATGTAGGATTGGCATTGGCTTTACACTTTGAGTGCATCTCCTATTTTTTCAAAAATTAAACTATGGACTAAAATTATATTTAAATCTAAATAAAACGCATTCAAAAAAAAATTGGATGTATCCGTTATAAAATCTTGAGCACTGAAATGTTTCAGAATTTACATCTACGGTCAAGATTGAGTGTTCCACGGTGATCACATCTTTCTATAGGACCATTCAACCCGTCACCGAAATTCAAATTCCCGCCCCTAACGTAAAATTGAAAATCCCAGAATCAGAAAATTGAAATCCCCAATTTCACGAATTGAAATCCCCCGCAGTCACTATTCTCCCGCATGTCACACAAAACAGAAAGAAAAGAAAAGAAAAACCCTAATGTCATCATCAACCCTAATGTACTCGGAGAAGGGTATCATTCTGCATCAGTTAAAGTACGAACTAGAACTTCTGAAGAGATTTAAGCTACAGAATTGCAAAGTTGTTGTGACACCATCAGAAACCAATCAAAAATTGGATTCTGGCTCTGATGGTGATTCTGCTGATTCTACAACCTTTAAACAGTTGGTTGGTTCTCTAAGGTATTTATGTAATACTAGACCTGACATTTGTTATGCAGTTTGATTGGTTAGCAGATTCATGAGTAATTCAAAGTGGTCTCATTTCTAAGCTGCTGCCAGAATTCTGACATATATCAAGGGAACCCTGAGATATGGAGTGTTGTTTCCTTCTGAAAGAAATACATAATCAAAATTAGTAAGTTATTCTGATTCTGACTGGTGCGGAGACAGAGTGGACAGGAGAAGTACTTCTGGATACTTGTTTAAATTTTTGGGAGGTCCCATTTCCTGGAGTTCCAAGAAACAGCCTGTCGTGGCTCTATCAACATGTGAAGCTGAGTATATCGCAGGTGTTGTAGCTGCTTGTCAAGCTGTTTGACTTCTGAATCTCCTGCATGATCTGAAGGTTGAAGTTGAGGAACCTCTAAAGCTGATGATTGATAATAAGTCTACAATTGATCTTGCCAAGAATCCAGTGCTACATGGAAGAAGCAAGCACATTGAGACGAAGTATCATTTTCTCAGAAGTCAATTGCAGAAAGGAGTGTTAGAAGTTCTGCACTGTAGCACTCAGAAACAGCTTGCAGATCTTCTGACAAAGGCAGTTAAAACAGATCAATTTCTTTATTTGAGAGATGAAATTGGTGTTGTTAGCTTCTGATAGAATATCTAAATTAAGTGATGGTATTGGAAATATAATTTAGTTAATGTCTATAATTCCCAATGCTTATTCTTTAATAGGGCCTTTTTGCATTTTCAATTTTTAGTATAAATATGCTACCTAGACTATCAATATTGTAATTCATTCATTCCTCTATTTGATATACAATAGTAGTCCTCTTTGTTATTATTCATTGCTCATTCTTCTTCTCCCCTTTCATTACCTTGCACCAACACCTTCCACCATACCAATCTCTCATTATCCCATTTCACCTCCTTCGTTTCCTCTTCTTCCTCCACTTTCTCCTTAGAATCAAAGCCAACCTTAACATCACTGGTCAAACTGTTTGTAACCCTAAGATCCCTATCAGAATTATCAGAGTCATTCCACCGATTATTATTGGAGGAAGATGATGGAACAATTGGATTAGGGAAAAGCTGATTTGCAACGTAGGAATCATCGAAGTTTCAATCCATTTTGAATTGGAACTGCAACTACTAGTAACTAAATTAGGGTTTTGATGAGAAATCATCTGATATGATAGTTGATGAAGAATTGAGATTGAATTCGTGAATAGCGGAAACTATTGGTGGTTCATCGTTGTTGATTAGTTCCCATTTGGATGAGGAGGATAAGACAGGAGTAAAGGAATCAGTAGACGTGTGCCCTATGTAATGAGCAAGGGAATATGAAATTAGGACAAACGTGGATCCTTTGTATGATTGAAAAAATAGAATATTTTTTGAGATAAAAAAATAAGGGGAGGCTTTTTAAGATTAAAAAATGAGAAAATATTTTTTGGCATTAAAAAATGAGGGGAGGCTTTTTATGATAAAAAAATGAAGAAATATTTTTTTTAGAATAAAAAAGTAGAGGAAAGGCTAAAAAGATAGCGGAGTGGTTTTTATGTTGTAAATAGTGACGGTTCAAACCGCCACAACTTAATGTGATTTGTAACCACCTCCTTAACATATAATTTATTGTGGCGGTTATCATTACCGTTCTATGTAAACCGCCACAATTCACGCATTTTTTTTAGTGATTTTTTTTAATGTTGTTTCACTCACGCCTTCTGTTGAATTCTATACTTCTGTTATGCCACTCAAAAATTTTTTTGATAATTTTATTTTTCTAAAAAGTTCTTGATTGTATATAGACTCAGGAAATGAGATTTTAAATTCTATATTTATTTCTTTTTCGTTTCTAAAAAGTTCTTGATTGCATATAAACTAATACTATTCTGTTAGCACATAAGCAATGTTTTTCACGTAAGCAATTATGTTAATATATAAACAAGTTCATCAAATTATTGATTATGGCATATGATTATCGATTAGGCATCGTGCTTTTGAAACAAATGGGAAAGAACGTCTAATCTTGTAAAGATTGAAAAGAATATAGTGCGAAAATATGGTAATTCTGCAATTATATTATTTTATCATGTCACTTAAATATAATGAGAATATTGTCATCATTCAATAAAAATATATTATTTTACCATGTCACTTAAATAATTTTAAATTTTCATTATGATTTGGTAAGATGTATGATTGGCATTGGCTTTACACTTTGAGTGCATCTCCTATTTTTTCAAAAATTAAACTATGGGACTAAAATTATATTTAAATCTAAATAAAATTCATTAAAAAAAAAAAAAACTGGACGTATCCGTTATAAAATCTTGAGCACCGAAATGTTTCAGAATTTACATCTACGGTCAAGATTGAGTGTTCCACGGTGATCACATCTTTCTATAGGACCATTCAACCCGTCACCGAAATTCAAATTCCCGCCCCTAACGTAAAACTGAAAATCCCAGAATCAGAAAATTGAAATCCCCAATTTCACGAATTGAAATCCCCCGCATGTCACACAAAACAGAAAGAGAAGAAAAGAAAAACCCTAATGTCATCATCAACCACAAACAACACCAACAAGAATATGAACGACGTTGATCGTTTATTCGCATGCTTCAAGTGCGGTTTATCACCGCCTCGTAAGTCTTTCAATTTTCATTTTTGAAAAGGCAAACCGTGTTAATTTGTATTGCTGATTATGAAACTGAGAACGTTGTTGTTTCAGCTTCTGCTTTGATTGAAAGAAAAAGAAGGAAAAGGAAATTGGAGAAGGAAAAGTTGAAGAATGAATTGGAATCGGAATCTCCCAATCCAGGATCAATTGGAGGAGGAGAGAAAACTCCGTTATCATGCATCAAAACCACAAACGTCGAATCTTCCATAGAGAAAGTAATGTAGTAAATTCTCTCTGTCCTTTTTATCATATATAGATTCATTAATTTATTTATTTTTCTCTCTTATTTAAAAAGCTTGAAAGTAATTTAGGTTAGAGGTTAAAGGTAGTGCATTGACACTGGAAAATTGTTTTACACCATCATTCATCCAATAGAAATTTTAACTTTTTACATTCATTGAATAAATGATGTATCTAGTCTTTACATTGTCCAAATACAGCATCTATTCAATGAATCTAAAAAGTAAAAAATTGCTTATAAATAAGAATGAAGGGCGTAAGTATTTTAAAGTTTAAAGCGTGACTTAACGGGATACATGATGGTGATTGGTTAACAATGTAAAAATACATTAGACTGTCCTTGAATTCTCTTTTTTCTCTTTAGGTTAAGTTATTTAGTCTATTTTTGGATTGATGGATTCCATCATGTTCTATTCTGCTCCATATATTATTTGCAAATCCAAATAAAGGAATCTGATTATATACCACTTGTTCCATTCCATTCTATCACATTTCACCTACCCAAACATACTCTTAATATAATATAGTTTAAATGAAGCTTAAAATTGAAAGCAAAATGGACTATAATAAAATTTAGTATCTCTCCTTGAAACCTAAAAAAGGAAAACTGAAACTTAATTAATCGCTCAATGCATCAACGTTTATCATATAAGTGCATATCTAGGTTGTCGATATCGCATTATAGCGACGCTATAACAGCGTAGCGGAACCGGACCTCACTGCGATGTTTTTAGACTGCTAAGCGCTATCCACGATAGCGGGAATAGCAGCCGCTATTTGTTGCTTTATTCCTAACTACCACTTCTCTTAAAATGCAGTGAGGATTGTATGTACTGTATCTTGTGTCATATTCTTATTTAATTGCGTATTTCTTTTTGTTTTTTACTTATAGTTTTATATAATACATTACATCCTCTTGTACTATTATTATTGCTACTAGGCTCATATTTTATTTGTGTCAAAACTAAATTTCCTTGCATTTCAGCTTAAATCAGCAATAGCTAAAACCAAAAGCTGTAGTAGTAGGAAGCAGATCTCTCCAGTTGTATTCTATGGTTCTCCTCATGGCGTGCCTCCAAAAAAACCAACCAGTTTATGGCGATTATTGCATGAGATACGTGTTGATCTCTCTCAGCGAAATAAACAGAACTTAAGGTGTTTTTTTGAAGCTGGTTTCTACCCTTTACTTTTTTCAACTGTTTATTTTTATTTTACTTAATATATCAGATTATGACTTGAATAAAAGGTTGGTTTTGGTCTAGGAAGGAAGTTTGGTTTACATTCCCAAGGCAGGATGAAGCAGTAAAATTTGCCAAAGAACAAGAAGATGTTCATCTCTTTAGTTACCAAGATCACTTTAATGGCCAGAGAAGGTTCCTTGTGTCTACATATACAGAATTCTGGCGAAGGTCTCCTTCGTATAATTTTTGTTCTCATATGGTTCATTATTTTCAACTAATTAATTGTCACTGAGATCCTTCTTTTTATATATTCATATTGCCTAGTGCTGTACTCAGGTACAAAAACATGCCTTCCAAATTCCGTCATCATTATGAAGTGATTCAAGAGGTAATTATTTTGTGTTTAATGTTCTCTGATTTCATGGGAAAACTTATATTGTAGTTACTAGTTACATTGTTTGATGTGATTCATCTGGGTGCCTTATGCGTGTTTATTCAAGTCTTAAAAGTTTCTTTGCTCCCAGGGTTTACCTTGCCACCTTTACTTTGATTTGGAGTTTAATACAAGAGTCAACATAGGAAAGAATGGAGATGATATGGTTGATCTTTTGATATCAGTAGTTTTAGAAGCCTTACATGAAAAGTATGAAATCCATGGAGAGCGTGATTGGATAGTAGAACTTGATTCTTCAACTGAAGGTATGCCTTTTTTTTCCTATCCAATATAGTCAAGATTGTGTGTTGGATCATAAGATCGTAAGATCTTACGTGCTAAGGATGCCTGAGAGTGATACTACCAGAGAAAGATCATTTTCATTGTTGGTGTGGTCAAGATTGAGCTTTTTGACGCATGATCGTAAAAAAAAAGTGTTGGGTCTTTTTTTGCACTTATATTATAATTTGTGTATTTGTGTATGTATATAAATGTATGAAATTACCATTTTTACCTTTGGTAGGATCTAATGTGCCGTGCTAACGATCCGAGTTTTACGATCTTTCACAAGCTGACCAATCCTACTTAAGATCTCGTGCTTGACTAAATTGTTCATGTCTATTCCATTTGTTGTAAACTGCCGCTTTGAAAACTATCTGGAATATGATTTTTCTGCTTGCTCATATGCCTTTTCTTTAAATAGCCGATGTCATGAAATCTTGGTTCATCTTCATTTCATTTTTTCTTCGATTTATTGTTTCTTAAATGTAATTTAGGGAAGAATTTATAGTTAATCTGCATAAACTAGCATTGACAGTTTGGTTTTGAGAAGTATTGATTACCACATGGGAATCAGTGTTCATCGGTTCAATATTTGATGGCAGTTATCTTTTTCATTGGTCCTATAAAAATTGCATGGCTTATCTTGTTGACCGTGAAATGCTTCAACTGCCTTTACCTATTGTCTCCCTCCCTTCAGTACTTTATAATTCCTTATGTATTCTGCTGATTTGTGTGAATTGCAAATATCACAAGCAATACTCGTCGTTCTCTAGAGCCTGTCTGTTCTAAGTGACAGAAGAATTCAATCCTTTGTCCTTGTGCGAAGTGCTAAGAGGCTTTACCATGTGAACCAATTGCACCATCAGCATTTTCTAAGATCTTCTGCATAGTTTTCTTCAATGTTTTTCAAAACATTTTATATTTGACTTGGCACTGTACATGTTTTTAACTTTTATAATAAATTTGTTAAGTGCTGCTATGACATTGATTCTAATATTTCCACTTATATAATTATCCTTATCGTTTCTTATTATTGTACTTGTAGATAAGTTTTCTCGTCATCTAATATTACGCATACCAAAGGCTGCATTTAAGGATAACTCTCATGCAGGTGCCTTTGTTTCAGAAGTAAGTCCAAGTATACTCATCTTAGTTCATCAAAACTAGAGATAAAATTTGGATTGGGGTTTCCTATCAATTCTTGAGAATCCAGTACTATTAGAGATGTATTATTCATCTTTCTCTTTATGATAGGAATCTACATCAGAAATTTACAATAGGTCTACTAGTTGACCTGATTAGTCATGAGCCGAGGCCTTGAAAGATTTCATAAGAAGAAATGGAGACGTGCTAAAGAGGAATAGGGGGGGACTTAATTATAGAAATAGAAGAGAATAAAGGAAAGGTATTGAATTGGAAGGGGTAATTATTGTGAGTGTGTGAGGGAGGAATAGGAGATTCTGAATGTGGTGTGCCATTATGAGTTATGTGACATGTGCTCTTAGTTCCAGGGAAGTGCTATCTAAGAGAGTTTTCTTGCTTGTATTTCTTATCATTGTGATAATCAATATTTCAGTAGATAGAGATTCCTCTATTGTCACGAACAAAATAAGTATTTCATTTATCAGTATTATTTTCTATCACTTTCTTTTCACAGTTAACACTCATAATGAGTCATTTTATAAATGTTTTTCATTCAGTAATTATGAATGTTTCAAAGGGAAGTTACTTAAGAAATGTTAATTATACTAGCTGGATAACACAACCTTCTCTTAAATATTTCTTTTGTAGAAGTATCAACTACTGACTATATTAACAGGTTTGCTCAAGAATTCTAAATGCGAAAGGGGAAGATAAAAGTTATGAAAAGTTGTTTGTAGCAAAAGATGACAATGAATCTGCTTGCCAACTTTTTGTGGATACTGCTGTATATACTAGAAATCGCTGTTTCCGTCTTCATCTATCTTCAAAGGCAGGAAAAAGTTCAATTCTTTTGCCGACTGAGAGATTTAAGAGCAAGCACTTGGTATGGCATTTTTCTTACCTAATATAAATATTTCAAATTATACCATCAAAATAGTTTCATCATGAAACAATTTTCCCCAAGAAAAAAGTAAAATAATTTTACAATTGGAATAACTACTTTCAGTATTGTAGACTACTCTGCATATAATAAATAGTACTGAACCTGAAGATCAAGAATGGGGAATAATAAATGTTATATTTGTTGAGATCCTATGGAATGCGTTTTCTATGTCATGTAAAGAGGATTATAGCATGTATTTTTAGTCAGTTCTTGACCTGAGAATCTAAGATTTCCTGTTGAAGACAGATAGAAGTTGTATTATCCTATTATATTTAAAGAAAGCCAACAATAACTGCATTACCATGAGCAAACTGCTTTATTTATTTTTTATGACTACATTCTGCCTTTAACTGGTTTGATATGATTTTTATTGCCACTTAGTTATTTTTCTGTTTTGGTGTTCAAGTGACAGAGTGAAGAAGACATGTTCATGGCTTCCTTGATCTGCAACATGGACGTTGATTGCGGAAAACTTATGGTCTGCAAACCAGACTTAGATTGCGCGAAGACTCTGCATTTTGATACAGAGGTTGTTTTGGGCTTAAAATTTATAATTCTCAATTTAATTTGATAGACTTTGTTAATGTAGAGAGAATAGAAGGAATAAAAGAAATTCTCATTGTACTTTTTGTATGTAGAAAGATACAAAGAGCTTGCTATATATAGTGGAGCAAGTCTAACAAACTGTGACAAACAAGCTGCCAGCTCAGTAATAATAGAACACACACATATTCCACTACTCTATCCACTACTGAAATAGTCACACTTATTTCACTACATTATACCACTACTCTATTAGTCCCCCTTAGAATATGCTGGTGGGTGTTTCAAAGCAATTTTGTCTAACACACGCAACTTAGAACGCAGAGGTACAAATTTGGCAGCAGATAAGGGTTTAGTGAGAATGTCAGCCCACTGATCATGTGCTGGAACATGAACCACAAAGAGGTGTTTGCTGAGAACCTTCTCTCTCAGAAAAAATATATCTAGTTCCATATGCTTGGTTCTGTTGTGTAGGATAGGATTATGAGCAAGAGTGACAGTGCTCAAGTTATCACACAGGATCCTAGGCACCTGACAGGAGCAGTGAAGTTCCTGAAGTAAAGACTAAATCCAAATGAGCTCAGCAGCCAATTGAGCCATGCTGCGGTACTCTGCTTCAGCACTGGATCTAGCAACAAGTTGTTGCTTCTTGGACCACCAGGAAACAACATTTGGACCAAGATAGATACAGGCCCCTGAAGTGGACCTCCTGTCATCAGGATCTGATGCCTAATCTGCATCACAGAATCCTAATAATTGCATAGGCTGCTGGACAGGGGCAGGTTGAATGAGTAAACCATGATGCAGAGTGCCACTTAAGTACCTCAAAATCCTCTTGACTGCCTTCCAATGATCCTCTAAAGGATTGGATAGAAACTGACAAACTTTGTTGACAGAAAAGGAGATCTCAGGCCTAGTTAAAGTGGCATATTGCAAGGCACCAACAACTGACCTAAAGTGAGTTGGGTCTTCCACAACAGCTGAGCCAACTTTGGATAATTTGCTGCTGGAAACCATGGGAGTGGGCATGCCATTAGCATTGAGCATATTAAGTTTGGTCAGTAGATCAGAGATGTACTTGGTTTGAGATAGAAGCAAAGAACCATTAGAGAGATGAGAGACTTCAAGACCTAAAAAATAATCAAGCTGTCCCAATTGTTTCAGTGAAAATTTGTTGTTGAGGTGCTTGATTAATGAGGTAATAAAGGGAGCTGAACTGCCTGTGATGATAATATCATCAACATACACCAGAATCATGACCTGAAGCTTGCCTTGATGCAGCAAAAAGAGACTAGGATCACACCTGCTAGCTTGAAAACCAAGTTGAACCAGTGCTCTCTTCAATTTATCAGACCAGGCCCTAGGAGCCTGCTTTAAACCATAAATTGCCCTGTTCAATTTACACACCAGTGACTTGTCAGCTGCTTCAAAACCAGGAGGCTGCTGCATAAACACTTCCTCTTCAAGAGTGCCATTGAGGAAAGCATTATTAACATCAATTTGCTAGATTGTCCATTTGTTACTAACAACAATGGTTAAAATGATTCTGACTGTTACAGGTTTGATGACAGCTGAGAAAGTCTCTTGGAAATCACTGCCAGCCCTTTGAGCCCTTTGATGGAATCTTTTAACTACTAATCTGGCCTTGTACCTGTTTATGGAGCCATCAGGGTTTTCCTTTGTTCTGAAAACCCACTTACAACCAATAGGCTTCCTGCAATCAGGAGCTTTCACCAATGTCCAGGTCTGATTTCTCTTCAGTGCCTAATACTCTTCTTGCATTGCCTGAAACCAATGAGGAGCAGCCAAGGCCTGACCAACAGAAGTGGGTTCCATGTGGGTTAAAAGGAGGGTAGGATGAAGTCTGGGTAGAGTGATACCTCTTTTGGCTCTAGTTTGCACAGGGTGCACGTTTTGAGGGTGAATGAAAGGTAAAGATGAAGTAGGAGGGCTGAGATTAGGGCTTGAAGTAGCTGGTTCAGAAAGATTGTGAGAGGAGGAAGGAGAGATGGTACTAGTTTCAGCTGGATCAGTGAGGATTAGAGCAGGAGAGATAGAAGGAGAGGAGGGAGCAGGAATGGCAGTGAGAGGCTGAGGAACAGGAGTGACCATCTGCTGACTGACAGAAGTAGAAGATTCAGGAGAAGAACCAGAAGTATTAGAAGGAGGAGAACAAGGAGTGGGACTGTGACTGCCAGCATGATTGGAAGGAGAATTGGAAGATAAGGACTGAGAAATGGAAGATGAAGAATGACTGGCAGCAGAGGGAATGGAAAGAGGAGGCACAAATGTAGCACTGGAAGACACTAATGAAGGAACTGAAGTTTTGGAAGAATTGGGAAATAAGGAGGAATAAGGAAACAAAGCTTCATGAAACACAACATCCTTAGAGATGTAGATATGTCCATCAGAGGCAAGACATTTGTAGCCTTTGTGAGAGGAGGAATAACCAAGAAAGATGCATTGTTGAGATCTATAGGCCAACTTATGAGTGTTATAAGGGCGCAGGAAAGGATAACAGGCACAACCAAAAACCTTAAGAGTGGAATAATCAGGTGGTTTGTTGAGTAATTTGTAGTAAGGGGAGGTATTATTAAGGATAGGACTGGGAATTCTGTTAATGAGATAGGCTGCAGTAACAAAGGCATGATCCCAGAACTTCAAAGGAAGAGTGGATTGAGCAAGAAGGGTGAGACCAGTCTCAACAATGTGTCTATGTTTGCGTTCAACAAGACCATTTTGGTGGTGTGTATGAGGACAAGTGAACCTATGAACAATTCCTAAATTTGTGACATATTTGGTGAGAGGCCTAAACTCTCCTCCCCTATCAGTTTGAACACACTTAATGGAACAATTGAACTGCAGTTCAACCATTTTCTTAAACTGAAGGAACTGAAGCATAGTGTCAGACTTGAGTTTGAGAGGAAAGACCCAAACAAACTTAGAAAAAGCATCTACACAAGTTAGGAAGTAAGTGTAGCCACTTGAAGATTGCATAGGGGTTGGACCCCAGAGATCACACACCACTAATTCAAAGGGATGTGTGTAGACTGTGGTAGACAAGGATGATGGCAATCTATGAGACTTGCCAATACAGCAAGCATGACACATTTCTGTGGGTGGTTTAGAGGGAATAGCCAGTTTACAGAGTTTGAAAATTTCAAAAAGAGCATGGTGATTAGGGTGGCCTAATCTGGTATGCCACAAAACATATTTATTAGTTGCTATAGCAGCTGAGCTATTAGAGTGAGATAAGGGTAAATCAGTGCTAACAGTGGCAGAATTAAGAGAAGAATTGAGGAAAGTACTTGTAGTATTATTATTGAAAGATTCATTACATGGAAGTGTAAGATTTGACATACAATGGGGAGTATTACAACTGCTTATAGCAGGGGAACAAAATAAACTACTGCTAGAGCTACAAGTATGAAGACTGGGACAAGACTTGGACAATGGAGATGCAGCAGGATTAGGAAATTTATAGAGGCCATCATCTTCAACACGACCACTGAGCAACACTTCAGAAGTAGCCTGAGATTTGACAACACAGAATGTAGGATGAAATTCAAAAAACACATTATTATCTTGAGCAAATTTGCTCACACTCATGAGATTTTTGGTAATTTGAGGGACATGTAAGAGATTACTAAGAATGAGAGATAGGTGAGGTTTGTGTGGTAAAGAAAAGGACATAGAACCAACAGAATTGATGGACAAACCTTGGCCGTTTCCTATGAAGATTTGCTCAGATCCAGGCACAGAAGCAGAGTCAGACACATTAGAGGCCTCAGGAGTAACATGATGAGAAGCTCCGGAATCAGGGTACCACCATAGATTATTACTGCTGGTTTCAGTATCTGCATAAAAAGCTTGTGGTGCTTGTGGTGCAGAGGATCTTGGAGGTGCAGCCCTGGGTGAAGCATACGCAAACTGCACAGGGTACATAGCACGTGGAGCCACAAGAAATGGATTGAATGGAGCTCTCTGCTGAGAATAACCAGCACCACTAGAATTGGAGTAACGATAATAGCATACTGAAGCATCATGACCAGATTTGACAAATCTGACATGACTGTTTGCCAAAACGGCCTCCACCACGACCAAAACGACCGCCTCCACGACCAGAACGACCTCCACGCGAGCCATAGGTATGATTCTCAGCATTAGCAGTGACATGACTTGTTCCTTGAGGAAACGCTTCAGTAGCAACTTGATCAGCGACGACTGGCGCAGGGGACGATGCTGCCTGAGTGAGATTCACCGTCGCCGGCTCCGCAACCGCAGCTTTGCGATGTTTCTCAGGACGCGACTCGTGAGCAAGCAAGGACGACTCCAGTTCATCCAAAGAGCTCAATTCATCTTTACTGTTGACGGCGGCAACGATAGAATCATATTCCTCAGGAAGTGAATCAAGCACGATTTCAATTAGGTTACGAAGAGGAACAGGATCCCCGATCGAAACCAGCGATTCACTGATCTCACGAGTGCGCTTCATAAGCTCCTCAATCGTGAGCGTTCCCTTCGTGAGACGGCGAAGCTCAGACCGTAACTGTCGTGCTTTGGTAGAGAGAAGTGTGTCGAAGTAACGGTGGATCTCCGTCCAAACTTGCCACGCGTGTTTACACTCAACAAGTTTGGGAAGAAGAGAATCGAAGATGGTAGAAAGAAGCCAGGTACAGATGAGAGCGTCCTGTTGCTCCCATTCCAGAAAGGCACTGTGAGATGCAGGATCTGAAGGAGATGGTGACAGAATCACCGGAACAGTAACGAACCGTTGAAGGCGGTGACCACGCACGACGCCATCAATCTGTTGCTTCCATTGTTTAAATTTTTTGTCGTCAAGTTTAACAGAAATCAGGTGAGAAAGTTTCACCTGAGAAGAAGGAAAAAGAGACTCCATGGATCGAAAAAAAAACGCTCAAGATACCATGATAGACTTTGTTAATGTAGAGAGAATAGAAGGAATAAAAGAAATTCTCATTGTACTTTTTGTATGTAGAAAGATACAAAGAGCTTGCTATATATAGTGGAGCAAGTCTAACAAACTGTGACAAACAAGCTGCCAGCTCAGCAATAATAGAACACACATATTCCACTACTCTATCCACTACTGAAATAGTCACACTTATTTCACTACATTATACCACTACTCTATTATAATTTGAAGGTTGTCATATTTTTCAACATTATATAATATATTTCCTTAAAATAATACGAGGTGTTAGGATGTCAAGTTTGTACTGAGATTTCTTCTATACATAGGGGGTTTAGCATATACCAAACTTAGTTTGGTACTGTGGTTTTGAATACTGATCTGTTGATCAATTAATCACCGTGGTAGCCTCCTAGAAATTTAAATTGCCATGGTTAATAATTGCTGCTTATTTGACTTTGACAGTTGAATTATAATCTTGGAAACTCTGTCCAAATTCACCCAGAACTTACATTTAATACTTGCACAAGTGAAGATTCAAGAACATACTTCATGGGAAAGTCACCATTCCCATTTGTGGACGAATTTATATTATCTGTTGCCTCTGTTGGGAATATACCAGGTTTGCTGTAGCATGTTTTTATGGGAAGCTTGCTTGAGACTTCAGTTTAGTTCTACTGACTATTAATTTACTGAATGTGTAGGAAAAATTCATAGCTGGTATTTATTCTCTGAATTTGGACTGCTGATCTACAGCATGACAAAAAATAGATACTGCGAGCGAATTGGCAGACAACATAAAAGCAATAATGGTAATCTCCCATATGTGCTTTTTTTTTTGTATGTACTTATTTTTCTCATGGAACTACTTTTTAGCCACGTATGAATGTATTATGATTAACTACTTTGTAGATTCTCCACTCTTGAACATGTTTTTGACTTTATGGGTCCTTGTATTATGATTATGATTGTAAATTTAATAAGGTGAAGAACTGCAGTAAGAAATGTGGTCCCACCTTGTCTTTCATTTTACTATGTTCTCTTTTATCTAATTGCAACATTCTAATACCTTTGATGATTTTGTGGTCCAGTGATGTTCGTTGTTGACCTAAAAAGGGTAATGTACTATCAGAAATGTTATGATCCTGACTGCAGAGGTTAATATGTTTACAATGAATTCTTTGAAGACCCGTTCAACTTGCCATTCTTTACCCTCTTGTAACATGTTTGTTAATTAATGGAACAGGTTTCCGATCTTCTTCGCGACCAATTCCAATTCACTTGTTCTCCAATCCTTCAGTTGTTGGTTCATCTGGGATGTCAAATGATATACAGCCAGTAGATGATAAGTGGGGACATCAGCCTGATGATAACAGCAAATCGAATTTTCTACAATATGAAGACACTGTTGAGGGCAACTCCAGTGATTCTTGGTGGCTAGAAGCCATAAAAGTACTTGAGGATGTGGAAAGTCAGCAAAATGCAACAGAGTTAAGCCCCAAGGTTAGTTCGTCTTCATTTAGCTTTCCAATGCTACAATTTACATAAAATCGTCATTAGGCTCCCTCATTATCTTGTTTAACTACGACTGAAGCCCCGTCTCCTTTCTTTAGGCAGCAGGAGGTGTCTTTTCAAATACAGTAGATTTTGCTTACTAGATTTCAAAACCTACATGGACTTTCTTTTAATCTGTCTTGAACTTAAGCAACATAAGTTGCTATATTAGTGACCAAATTGTTTATTAGCTCTGTAGAAATAAATTATCTTCGAGTATGACTGTGATTAAGGTGTTTTATTTATCTTGTTTACATGAATATAACACTGAATATCAGTTGCATAAAATGTGTTCAAAGCAGGAGTATGATGGCGATGATGAGTGGTGGCTGGCTGTAGAAAGGACTGCATCGCAGATTGAACTGACATATAATTCAACTAATTCAGAATGTTAGCACCACAATTCAGCTCGCAGATAATGTGCGTTGTGTGTATATCCATTTTTATGATATTCGAATCTCTAATCATAGGGTCTCGGGGATGAAATGGATTTCTGCGGCACTCTAGTTGGATCAACAATTAGCTCCACTTGATGATTGAAGCCAGGAAAAGGGGGTTGCTACACTTATCTGCAGCAAGCAAACTTAGATGAGATCCTGAAAAGAAGCAAAGTTTGTGAGATATAATCCCGGAAGAAAATGAATTTAAGTGTTGGAGATATGAAGTTCAATTTTTACACTATCAGAACTAGAGCACGTCCCTGTAGAATGGTTGGTTGTAGGTCCATGCAGAATGTTGCATGATTGTGGACGGAGTTGAATCCTCTACAAAGAGATTCATACCTATTGGACCCATTTGGATTCTCTCCTGCAGAAAAACAGAACAGCGGGAATGGTAAAAAAGAGAGATGAGAGAAATAGAGAGGGAATGTCTGGTTGTAAATATATTTTTTGTTTTAATTTTTTTAAATTTTTATTTCAAATTGCTAATAAGATTTTTTTCCTATTTTTCCTTTGATTTTGTTTCCCATCTTTTTTTTTTCTTTAATTTTGATTAAATTACATTTAATATATTTTTCCAACACGGTTATCTAGTCATGGAGTCACTTATTTATGGGTAACAATTAAACCTGTCACTAATGGGTACGGCATGAGAAGTGGGATGCCATTGGATGAACATGAACGATTGAGATGAGAGTGGTGTTTTACTCCAATGCGGCACTTCTATGAATGTTCACGTGTTCTCTAGTTAAGTGAGCGTTGGGTCTTTGATCGGGTTGATTTTATTGAGCCGTTTGCTAGCCCATAACAAATAGAATTATTTTTAAATTTTGTTTGTAAAATAAAAATTAGTAATATATATTTTTTGTGTTGGTATGTGCATAAGTAATAAAATTAAAAGAAAAGATTTATGGGTTTTGTGTGTGTTTGGAGTGGGGGAGTTTTTAAGGTAGTTTGTTTTGTGGTTAATGTTTATTCTAAGAGTTTTTTGATAGATGAAATAATAATGTGGGATGATTTTTTTTGTTTGTAAAAAAAAAATTAGGAGGAGACATCTGATGTGTTTTGAGTGTTTTTAATCATATCTGCTTTTTTGGTGAAAAGTAGGAGTTTCACTTGGTTTCAGCTCAATAAAAGGGTAGCTAGAAGGATTGTTCGGATCCTTGTGTCTAATGGGTGGTGGAATCATTGGGAAAAATGTTCTTTACACCCTTATGACTTCTCCAACACCACCTTGAAAATATTAAGGTTTTGTTTGGCAAAATACTTTTTGAGCTTATAGTTTATAAGTTCATATGACAATAAAAGACATGTTTGGTAACATTCTTTTCATCACGAGTTTAAAGTTTATTTTATTAACTTATAGCTTATTTTTCAGATGTTATTTTAAATAGTATTTTAGCTTATAGTTTATAGTTTATCATTTTTTCTTTCATTTTTATCTATTTTTATCTAAAACTCACTACTATAATTTATAATTTATGTTAATTTAAAATAAAATAATTATATATTAAATATCTTTTATGTCATTATAATTTATCAACTAATTGAACCGTTAATTTTACCGAACACTTCAATTAGTTTATCTGCTATAAGTCGGCAGCCATCAACTATAAATTATCAGTCATCAGCCATCATTCATAAGTTATAAGCTATAAGCTAGCTTATCATCCAACCGCTGTTTTTACCAAACATAGCCTAAATGAACTAATGAACTAAGGAAAACTTCAGAGATGCATCTAATCTTTCGTGTATACTATATGCATCTCCAGAATAATCTTTTACATAATAAGAGTCTCTCATTATTTTTACTTCAGTTGTGTGTGTAAGAGGTGCGACCGGAGATGCATCTCTAAAATATGTTTTGTTAGATCAAAACAGAAATAAACTGAAACAAAAAAGGCAGAACGAAAATCACATAACTTAAATTAATTTCAAAATAAACATTACATGAATAAACATTACACAGATAAACATTACATAGATAAACATTACATAAATTTAACATTACATGTTATTGAAAACAGGTAGTTCGGGACGTGACGATATTCTTAAAATTTATTTGGCTGATCTTTGAATCGCCGCGTCCATTTCAATCAGACCCTTTATTGAGTAACGGTAAAAATTACTCCACACCACCTTCAAATCATCATTTGTCTTCAGTGCAAGCAATGTGGATTACACATTCTCTTTGTTGTCTATCGAGGGTGAACAGTACTCGATCTTGACAATTTTCTGATTTTCTGAATATTACAGGAGAGTATTCAGTTTGGTTTTCAGATCGATGAGAAGTATGTCCTCGCAAATCCGAAATTGAAGTGGAGATATTGTGCTATTGAAATACACAAAATCAAGATGGGGATATGTAGACATTCTGGTTTATGTAAAGAAAATCGATTGAGAGACTTTATTTATAGAATTTGTAGAGAAATAAGGACCTCACATAGATGATCATGTCTGATGAAAGACTTCTAAGATACACCTCTGGATCTTCCTTATTTAAGGGTCTCTCCGGAGATGCAACTCCAAATAATCCCTTGTTTTTTTTATTAATTAAGGAGTATCCAGAGATGCATCTTCGGATCCACTAAAAAATTATGCAGAAAAACAGTATTGATCTTACCGAATCAGAAATGGACCGTAACAACTAGCTCGGGCAGAAGTTGAATGAGATGTGGGGGTACCTGCAAGACACTCCGATAGCCAAGTAAGTTGAGGAATGAGCAATCAAGTGTTAAAGAGTTAGAAGTGTTGAATTGAATACATGGCCCTCTTAGAAGAGAGGGTATTTATAGCCCCCAGCGCTGGGTCAAGGTTCCTATTATTGGGCCACGTTGAGGCCCAATAACAGGAACTGCCATGGCTTACGTGTGTATGGAGTCCAACAAGTGGACTCCCCCCTGGTCAACTGTTCCGCGAGAATAGGGTTGGACCCGTGATTCCCAAAGGGCAGTTTAAGATGACTGTCGTGGGATCGTGGGCCACGTTCTCTAACGGTCGTGTGAGGAGTTTCCCAATGGTCCCTAACTTGGGCTGTTTTTGGGCTTCCCATTCAAAGGGCAAGTGTAGGATCAATCCAGATCAGGAGTCCCCTAAGTTATTTCCCTTGATCAAAAGGGAGGTGACTTGAGTTCAACTCTCGATGCCGGAGACTTGATCGAGGAAGACGGCCAAAGTCCCTTGAAAGGAACAAGTTGTTGCCCGCATGGGGGACAAGCTCGAGTGTGTCGGGGATATTATGGATGAGCGGGCAGCGAGACTGAAGGGGTCAGTCGCTTGCTCGAGAGGACCGTATTAGTAATGAAGAGCCTCCGCGAGATTCCTTTTGGCGCGCCCGTCTTGAGGGAGTTGTCGATATGTCGAGCATTACTTCGTCCCTGAGGTGGTTGAATGGATGTGCCCGTATACGCGCCCTAGTGTCGAGCATCCCCTCGCGTGGGGTATCTGTCTCGTGCGTGTATGGGGATAACGGGTAGGAGCTGGGCATATGCTCGTCAATCCAAAAGGGACGCGTGGTTGACAATTGAGCCACGTGGCTAATGCTTTGGGGTGCCACCCCTTCAAGGGGAAAGCCAAAAGGCCCAATGAAATAATGACCTTTCATGAGGGACCTCTTGGAGCATGGGTCACCTATAAAAGGGCCCCCCTGGGTCTCATTTGTCATCTTCTCAAGTTTCCTTTCAACTTTTCTTACTCGTGGTGTGAAGCAATCCTCTTAACTTCCTAGATTTCCTTGCTCGTTGTGTGAAGCAATCCTCTCAACTTCCCAGATTTTCTCTTTGAGTTCTTCATCCAAGTAAGTTACAACCTCTTAACACCACTTTTCTTAAGCGTTTCTGGATTAAATGTCTAAATTATTCCTTGATTGGATGAACAGTTATGAGTTATATGATGAAAACTCATGAATGTTCATTGAAGTTCATGAATTCTGCGTCGAGCACTCATGAATCTGTCGGGCACTTTATGAATGTTCATTAACTATAGCGTCGGGGGGTATCCCCGAATAGTGGCCGTAGCACAGGGGATGGCTTCCCCAGATACATGGATTATCTCAGGCTTCTCGCTCGGTGAGTGATCATCCCCCCGACAACATGACCTCCCAAAGAAATAGTTTGCTTTAGCGTGTAGTCGAAGGCTTGGATCGAGTTCGTCGCCCTTTCACTTGATCTACGGTGGAAGGGTGGATTTGATAATATCAAATTCACTATTTCCCCCTGATTTTCAGGTATAATGGCGCACTCAGTTGGGGACGACCTTCCGGCCTCCAATTATGAAGACGAGCCCCACAATGACGAGGACCCTTTGGGTTGGGTTTCTCCTGAGCCCCAGAATAAACGGTCGTGCTTTTCCCAAGACGCAATGGATGTGTTCAATTGCTCGGAGGTACACGCAGAAAAGGCCCCCGCCAATTGGATGCTCCAAATTCCCCACTACGACCGAAGAATATGCTCGACGTACCCGGGAAAACGGTTCCCCATGTATGAATATGCTTTTAAAGAGACGGAGATGCGCTTGCCCTTCAATGATTTTCAAGTCGGGGTTTTCCAGTGGCTTCAATTGGCGCCTTCTCAACTCCACCCAAACACGTTGGCATTTATGCGAGCATTCGAGCTCGTCTGCTAGTATCTGAGGATAGGTGCCATGCTGCCCCTATTTTTCCATATCTTTCACCTCCAAAGACAATCCGTCGGAGGGGGGAAGGCGTGGGTGTCATTCAAGCAATTCGGGAAGCTCTTCAGGCCTTACCTGGAGTCTGTCCGGAATTTCAAAGAGAGGTATTTCATCGTGAAGCCACTGACGGAAGCGGCCATAGATTCCCTGTATACTCGTGTGGAAGAGGTGGAGGATGGGTGGCTAGTTACCCGACTTATGGCCAAATTTCTGCTCGAGTGGTAGTGGAAGCACTTCGAACAAAGGCCCGAGTATTATGCTGTGAAACCCGAGGATCTAGACGC